CAATATTGGTAATTTGAGTTTCTAATTTGTATGAAACTATAAACTTAGTATTTTGACTTCACAAAAATCTAATTGGAACCAGTGCTGCATCCAACATACCACATGTCACACAAAAATCAATGTTTATCTGTGTTTTTATAATATTTGCTTTTAAATTAAGAAATTGATTAATATATAGTACTAACATTTGAATTATAATCTACAGTTTGATATCAAAGTTATTGACATAAATTCATAAAATTTTGAATGTGAGTCAACAAACGAGATGACATGGTCTTTCATGTGTGACTCGTCTCGAAAGGGTTAATAACAAACAACAATTATCAATTTGAACATTTGTAAGGATACATTTATAGGCAAAACCTTGATCTTCTCAGTTTTTCTTCATTTTCAGTAACAAATTTCAAAAGATTGTCCGCATTCACTGATGTCATCCACAGCAGTGTTATTTATTTCAGTCATAACTGGTAAAGGTAGGCCAATATCTTGGAGTAATCTTCCACTAAGTTGTAAAACTTTGTCTTCGAGGATGATTAAGGCTTTCGTCAGAGTACTGGAGATCTATTTCTGGAGGAACCCTTTGCATTCTCAAAAGAATGTCTTTTGACATACTTTCGTTATGATTTTCCCACAGTTGAAGACGGTTTGAAATACTACATGTTTGTAACATCATTGCAAATAAAACTCTAAAATGTTTTGGTGAATTTGTGGCAGCTGTTTCTTCAAGTGTACTGTTCCAATGACTATCATCTTCTAACAAACACCTTAAATTTCAAGCAGCTTTGAAACTGTTACATAATTTATCATTGATTTACTTCATATCTTCAAAGGATGTAGAACCAGGAACTATGTGCAATAACAGACTCAAACAAAAGCACTCAAAATTAGTTTGATGTACTGTAGAAACTCTTTCTAATACAGAACTAAATTTGATACCTGGATGGCTTTCCACATTGGAACCTTGTGCTCTTCTTTTCTACCTTTTTTTTGTTGATTTTTCCATATGAAATAGGATTGTACTTCTGAATACAATAATGTTTTTGCAAATTCATCAGCAGAGCATAGTTCAAAAAAAGGCAGTAAGTGTAGTTCTAGGTGGCAGTTCAATTTTCTTCAATACATTTTCATTATTAAAGAATACTCATAGACCATTTCTAACTGGACTTGTTAATGCACAACTGTTGGGTGATGTTTATGTATTGGAAATTGAAATATTCTCCAAAATGCTTCATTTTTACTTATGTATCTTTCCAACTGGTATGTTGAAACTTCATCTCTGACATTACCATTTCCTAATTTTTTATGGTGGTTACAAGGTTGGTCAAATTGACAGACCCCATATAGTTAAGGGACCATAGGAGTCAGGATTCACCATGCCAAGTTTGGTGGAGATTGGTCAAATAGTGTGCGATGAATTAGCAGACAGACAAACATACAATATCACTTATATATATAGATTTCAGGGTTTCCTCTTTGGACTGTCTTCCTGTTTTTAGTTTTGTTAGCTAGCTAAGCTGAAGAAGCATGCTGTAACTTGGGGATTTTAAAAACTGAAATGTTCTGGGACTAAACCATGTGGGTTATTATAGAGTCGTAACTGAGGGTTCCAATTGGGCAAAATTTTGGGATGTTGCATCAGTGTGTCTGCTTGACAATCAAGCAGATGTAATGAGGAATTGTCAATTGTTATGATTGTTATGTGCCAGCAATACTAAGCACTGAGTGTGTATATACAGGCTTCAGTTTTATTACTCATCATGATCTCTACCAACTTATCTCATATCTAATCTAACTATTATATGTCTAAAGCTATCGGTGTAACAGATTGACAGAGAGAGAGTTTTTATCCCTCCATGTTACTTCTGGGGACCATAGGAGTTACCATGCCAAGTTTGGAGATTGGATAAATAGTGTGCAAGGAGTTAGTAGACCAACATACAACAGAATTCTGCTTAAGCATCTTCTTGGTTACTGAAGGGCTGAGTGGAAAACATTGATGGAAACCATATATCAACATTAAATGTGATGCCAATAAATACTTTCCAACTCATTTTACTCCCATACATCATGCACTGCAATTGGAAACATTTGTTCCAGTTGGAGTGGGAGGGGATGGTAGCACTGCGAAATAAATACATCTCAGCCACAGTTCAGTTCAGTTCCAAATGTAACTTGCCAAACCTTGGTTATTCACCTCTGGCATTTTTGAGCTGCTTGCCTGTGTATTTAACACTTTCTTTGTAATTTTGAATAGATATTTGTCACATGTTTTCATAAGATTATTAAAGATTTATTATGAATCTCAGAAGGCTTAATATTTGCGATAAAAGTCATGTAAGACTATAGATTTTATTTTTTCACATTCCTCTTAATGTGATCATTTGCAGTTTCCCATAATTTTTTATCTTGAATGATTAGCCTGTTGGTTTTTAAAATTACCTACTTCCAGAATATGTGAATCAATTTAGTGACTCTTCATGCTACTTTACTTAAAGGCAATTAAAAGTTAAAGATTTCTAACAAAACATATACTAACTTCATTTTTAGGTTTTAAATGCCACTTGTACTTACTAGCTCTTTCACTTCCACATCTACCAACAAACAAATACAAGAAAGACAAATATTTTGAATATTTCAGTACTTGTCTTTTAAAGGTTTGAAGGGAAATATACCTTTTACATGGTGTTCCAAACTCCAATGGCAGTGTTCTAGAGAGGAACATGTTGTGCTTATGACTAGAACAGTTATTAATAAAATTTGATAATCAATTAGTTGTCATTAATATGAAACTCATGAGAAAAAGTTTTATCTTATAAATACTACTAATTTGATGAAATATGGCAAATAATTCTTCAGTTAAAGTATGACAGTGAGATTTTAGAAATGTTTTAAATTCTAGTTCACTATATAAAATAGCTGTTGTAGAAAAAAAATGGACTAATGTAGATGGTTTTCTTTCTTTTATGTAAGTAAAAAAATTGTACTAAAATGGACTAATGTAGATGGTTTTCTTTCTTTTATGTAAGTAAAAGAATTGTACTAAAATGGACTAATATAGATGGTTTTCTTTGTTATGTAAGTAAAAGAAGTGTACTAAAATGGACTAATGTCGATGATTTTCTTTCTGTTATGTAAGTAAAAGAAGTGTACTAAAATGGACTAATGTAGATGATTTTCTTTCTGTTATGTAAGTAAAAGAATTGTATTAAAATAGACTAATGTAGACGGTTTTCTTTCTGTTATGTAAGTGAAAGAAGTGTACTAAAATGGACTAATGTAGATTATTTTCTTTATTTTATGTAAGTAAAAGAATTGTACTAAAATGGACTAATGTAGATGATTTTCTTTCTGTTATGTAAGTAAAAGAATTGTACTAAAATGACTTAAAAATTTTAGAGTTAATAAGTAGATTCATCAAACATTGGTCCTGGTTGGAAATTGAAATCATTTCCGTGTTAACCAATAACATGATTTCTTCCTTTGAAATGCTTTTTGTTGGTAAGTATACTATTCTGATTTTGTTACCTATCATTGTAGGTGGGAACAGACTTTGACTTGAAAGAACAAGTATTCAGAAACTTTGGTCGAATAATTGGACCTTTTTCTGAACCAGCAGCTCTTCACAAGTGGGGTCCAGGTAAGGAGTTTTCAGCAACGTTTGTATGGATGGACCCTATCAAAACTGTGGCAGGCTCATACGAAGTGAAAGTGGAGATTGGGAATCAGGTTTGTGTACACCTTGTGCGTTTGCTGCAGTTTCTTGAACTAATTCTCAACATACTTACATCCTTGTGCATCAAGGGTATATACAATCATATGTAAAAGACAGCAGTTTTGTATTTTAAAAAGTTTAATTAGCATTCAGTCTCATTATATTTAATTCTGATCTGAAATAAAAAAGTGACATCTTTCTGCTAATAGTAAAACTAATAAATGCAAGTTCTATGGTTAATATTTTTATTACTGACTTTGATTATCTACAGCTTAAATAAGATGACCAATGAAAAACTTAGTTTTGTAAATTTTAACTTGTTAATTTGATACAAAGGTTTTTAACTTAAAAAGCAATATGGTTATGGAATACCTAATAATCATATTTTGTGTGTAATGTAATATTTAGAATTAGTACTGTATGATATGTCCACACAAAACGTGAACTTTTTTTTTAAGAACTTGAAAAAGCTATTCCCAATTACATCAATAAAATGTTTATCATGTATTTGCTAGACAACAGATATGTTACATTACATGCAATATTCTTGTGTATATATATTTTTTTTGTCTGAAATAAAAGAAATATTTCACTTTGACTTTTGAACAAAAATATTGGAAAACGTAAATTAAGATTAATATAGTGAATAAAATCACCAATTCACTCTTAAACTTTTATTGTAAACAAGAAATAAAGATAGGACAAAAGCTACGATTATTATTCTGTTTGTGACATCCTGCTGTTTTTGTGTGTAGGTGCTGCATCATAAGCCTGTGTTTAAACAGCCTCTTCGACCAGGTATTTGGACACTTCTTTTGATGTACAATTGGGTTCTGGTAGCTGAAACACATTTTTTGGTGATCCCTCTGTCAGTATATAACACCCAGAAAGTAGATGAGATGAAAACTCAACTGATTCACAGTGGTCCTGTAAAACAACCATACGTTGATCATGATTTTAGTAATGTAGAAGCCCTTTTGAAGTATGCCAACAGAAGTTTACTTTTACAACAAGCAGTTCTTAATTCCCAGAAGACTGGGAAAGACTTGAATGAGTGGATTGATGGCTTGACCACACAGTTCTGGACAGTTCAAGATATATGTTTTGTCTCCATACCTAAGCACCCTTCAGGAGGTGCTTTGTGCTCATCACTAGACATCGATCCTTGTCAGCTAACCATATGGAGTTCTAAGTCACCAGATCCAAAGTCAGAAATGAACTCTGTATTCCAAGAATCTCAAGTACAGAGGTAGTAACAACTAGTCATTATTGGCATTATATAAAAAAATCAAGTTACTGCAAAACGTGTAAATAATAATTTAAAAACAAGGTTGTTTTGCTGATTTGACTGTAGAAAGTTAAACAAAAAAAATGTATCAGAATACTTATCTTAATTAGTAAAAAAAGCTATTATTTCCTATAATATTACTGTAATTTGTTTTTGTTTAGCATATGGAAGGATCTACAGTTGTTGAAACTATCAATCTACTATCTAGTAATTTAGTGTAATTCACCTGAGCATGAATTCAAGATGAGAGAAACACTGAAGTAGAAAACTTCTAGTTTTCGTGTTTAATTGTGGCCATTAATTTGTAAATTTTATAGTTTCATATTATTTTTAAATAACATTAAAAGTGCCAAGTATCTTTTTTTTTATAAAGGTTAAAATTATTTTAAAAGATTACTTAAATAATATTCATAAAACAAGAAGTGATACAGCAGTTCTCAGTTGAAAACCACTGAGAAGTGATATGTAATTCATTTTTTTTTGCATGTAGGATGAAGTTAATATGTTGTATAATGAATTTGTTTCAATTTACAGAAGTGTGACTTAGTAATGGAAGTATATGGGCAAAGTGTTGATGGAATGTTTCTGTATTGAACAGAAATTTGTCATTTTACGATGTAAGAAAGACTAACTATAGGGGTTAATATTCTAGTATAACAAAACTGCTTCAGCGAGTTAAAATCCTGAAGTGATGTAATCTTAAAAAATTGTGTCTAAATGTTGAAAATGTTCATGCACTTTGTTGGTGAAAAATATGCTGCTTTGATTTTAATAGCATGTGATGAAGTCATGCTAAATTTTTGTTTTTTTATATCAAGATTTATTTGGCATGGTACTTATATTCTAGTGGTTTTGAAAATATTACACTATATATTTTTTATTTTTTTTTGTTTCTCCAAACTCAAACTTACATAATCAAGTACTATAGTTTTAGTTTGATTTTTCACTTTTACTGAAGGCTTTCAGTTGTTAACTGTATTGCTTTTAATGATGTTTCAAGCATGTTTTTGTTTGTAGTTGGAGGAAACTCTCTTACTAAGTAAATTTTGAAAATGTAGTTTTTGTCTCTGTGTTCAGAATTATTTGTTTTTGAAAAAAATTTACCCAGATTTTGAACAAATGCTTAGAAAATACTAAAAGAAATTATTTTTCATACAAGTGAAAAAAATTGTAGTTTGAAATTAGAGAAATAAATGAAGTGGAGCTCATTTACATCCATTACATGGGAGTGTAAAATGTAAAACCAAAAGCTATTAAACCTCCTTGTCTTTTTTTTTTGTTTTGTTGTTTCCTTATTACATTTTTTTCTTTCTAGTTTTTGCTCTATGATCTCAGTTATTTTGTGAAGTTCCACAATCTAATGTGTCCACATTCACACACTTTTATGCATGTGGTTATCACATATTGAAAAAGTTTGTTATAACCTGAACAAGATTTTTAAGGTTTATGCTGTTGTAAAATCACATGATCTTTGATGTGATACAATTACTAGCAAAATTAACATTATAATCTACGAAAACAAAATTGTTGTTTCAAATGAAATGAAGTGTTTATCTAAAATAAGGTGGTCTGTGCAATAAAGAAAAATGTACAATCATACATTTGTGATATAAACAAAACAGTGAATAAAAAACACAAGCCAGCTAGACCATAGTTGCTCAAGTGTTTGAACATAAAAACTTGTATTTCTATACACACATTTTCATTTGAATCTAAAGGAAAATGTACCATATGACATATCTTATAAGAATTTGAGAATATGTAGAAGTTACGACACACATTTTATTATGTTTTAAATATATTAGTGAAATATTTCAATTCAGAAAAATTACCTTTTTGATAAGTAAGTAAAATTGAATGAATGTCAGATTGGGAAAAATAACATTCTTCTGGCTTTTGTTGCTAGTTTGGTATGTTTATTAACATATTTAATTTGTATCTTTTAAAAGAAAATACAGAATCTGTACGCTTATGTTGGATTTGATGCGACATTTGTTGGTAGTTTTAAAATATTTATAAAAGCTGAGTTTCTCCATTTCATTACTTAACTCAGTTTGAGATCTAAAATAGATATGTTTTCTCTATTGAATTAGGTATTTTCCAGCTACAGTAATATTATCAAAATAAAACAGTTACTAATTGGAGTACACATTTTAAATATTAAACCTAAAATCTGGTAAATTTTGTTTTGACAAAAACATGTATAGAAATATGGATTGCCCAATTGAAAATAAAATAAAAAAATTTATATTATTATTTATGTACTACACAGCACATAGCACCAACTTATAAACTGTAAGTGGCTTCTGTATGTAGTGAATAAGCCAGCTAATATTTTAATTAACGTTTAAGCAATTTAAAATACTCATTAACTATTCAAAACAATAATAACATGTATCTCTGTCTGTAGTTTGTGTTGCTCTAACAGAACTATCCAGACAGAGAGGTCTAATAATCACTGACCTAATGAGGAGTAGCACAGGTTTTGATCTGAATAATTGCTGATTTCTGTAGGTATACCTTTAGCTAGTACTCGAAAGAAGACTTGTACAATTTATCCTCACTGCTTTTTCTAAAGTTTGGCCACTGGATAACAACTAGAGGGTTATTGTGTGATATTTTCAAATGAACTCTTACATTTGGTCCCAGAGGTGTTCGTCAAGTTAAATTTGGGTTATTTTTTTGGCCATTTTAAGACATTGATACTGTTGCCTTGAAACTTGGCATTAGTGACACATTCCTTGTGACACGGATCATCTTCTTGTTGGAACAACACCGACTTACTGACTAAACAACTTCTGTCACAGCCTCTACAACATGTTTGTGTGTGAGAGAGAGATTATTTTAACCATAAATATTTCAACTAGCTAATCCTTCACAGATAGGTCCAATGACCAACATGTAAAATCCACCTCTATCATAATGACCTAACCACAATTGTCAGGGTTATGGCAAAATATGTCACTTACTTGTCTCCAATTTTCAACTATCTACTGAAAAACTGTGGTGGTTTTCATCATATTAAAAAATTTACAAATGGTTATAAATATTCCATCATCGACAAGTTTTACAAGAACCATTCTTGAGGATAACATACAGTTTACATAACCCAGTCATATTAGAGTATTTGCATTTGTGGAGAATGGACTGCAAAACTTACAGATGATGCCTTTATCACATATGGCCACATCTGATGGGATTCAATCACTTTGAATGTAGGGTATATATCACTTTCAGATCTGCTATGCAATCCTAATTGATAAAAGTTTGTCATGTTTCGACAAACATTTCAGGCTGAACTGAACAGTTATTAGTTGTACTGTCAACATTTTAGGCTGATCTGAACAGTTATTAGTTGTACTGTCAACATTTTAGGCTGATCTGAACAGTTATTAGTTGTACTCTCAACATTTCAGGTTGACCTGAACAGTTATTAGTTGTATTGTCAAGCTCTTGATGCTATTGAATGTTTTTTTGATTAGTTAACTGCTGTGATTGTTTTAAATATCCATGCTTCAAGCAGTTTATAATCTCTCCTCTCAACTTAATTCATAATATTTTTATGGTGTGCGTGTGTGTCTTTATTTTCACAGAGTGCCTTTACAAAGCATGTTAGTTGAGCCATTTCACGTATTTTACATGTTTAAGGAGTGTCCATGTATTTCTGCCAAGGCAATGAATACTGAATTGATGCTTAATTCAATCAAAGTTTTCTTGTTAATGTAGAATTTTATTTTATAAACAAATTCTATTGACCACAACTGAAAAATGAATGTGATACATTACTATTTTTCCAAGAACTCATTTTGTTAAAGTCCAAAGTCTAGGCCTAGTTGAAGTTAAAAACTTGGTATTTTAGAAGTTATTCATGCTACCCATCTTTCAAGTTGTCAGATCTTTTAACTTTAATATAGTTTTAAATAAACTTGACATTCAGCCATAAAGGTATTAAAGAAAAAATTAAAATATCCCAAATCAGAACAAACTTTGAAAAATAAAAACAACAAAAATTCACACACACACACACACACACACATATATTTTGTTTATAGTTCTAGAAACAGAAGTATGTTGGTATAGATACATGTAACTGATTTCAGCCTTGGGGAGGGTAAGGCTGCTGGCAAGCAGAAGAAATTAGTGGACAAATTAAAAATAAGAGCTTTTTCTGATTGCATTTCAGGAATACTTTTAATGATATTTATCCAGTTGCTCAGTAATTTTGATACCTTCAGAAACGTTTTATTTAAGTTATGCTATACAAATTATAATTTTATTTTAGAAAAAGACAATTCTAATAAATATAATGAGGCCACAGCGATTCATCTGGCAGGCATGACTCTTGCTCAAAAGGATACATGCTGTCTATAATTACTATTAGAATACAATATGTATTTATCACTGGATATCAAAAACTAGGTGGATGTGCTAACTGTTTTCAAGATTCAGGTAATATGTGTCAAATTTGTTGTCTTTGATAATTATTATCATTTATCCTTATAATTAATTGTGCAACAGTTTATTTTGACCTTCTTAACTGTTTTTTGGTTTTGGGTTTCTTTTGAATATTTCACTGTCAATTTTTATGTTTCAGTATGGTTCTGTTTTATAATTTCAGTTTGGAGTTTTGAGAGATCATGGTTTGTCAACTGAAATAGATTAAAGTTTTAAGGTTGTTGTTAGTGAAATTAGTGTTTTATTTAATCCAAATTATGTAAAAAAAAATAATAATTTGTTTTTGAAGCTCTTTTGCTTTTGAGACAATTGTTGAACTATGAAGAAATAAAAACATTAACGGTAAACCTTTTGTGATTAGATACTTCAATAATAGTGAGCATTTTATTTAAAACATTTACTTAACTAAAATATCTTCAGAATTGAATATTTTTAAACAGTGCTATTTCTGGTATTAATGTAATTAAAGAGACCAAATTTGCACCATCAAAAGTTGATGTAAGAATGTGTAACTTGTGTTTTTTTTTGATACAATTTAGAGTTATGAAAATATAATACAACTAAAAACAGTGTAGGCACTTTTGGAAGGTCTATTTGGTTTATGTGACATATTTAAATGGTTTCAGTTAATAGTTTTGCTTACTAGATTCATTATTCTCATATACATATAAATTTACAAATGAAAGAAAATACTGTTAGAAATTGGAAGCATTAAGCTGTTACAATGGTTAAATTATTGGATATTATCGTGTATTTTTGACATTTTAGAATTTTAAAAGGTATGGAATAACCTTAGTTTTTAATGTGTTTTTTTTAGACTGGAATGAAAATATGATTAAATAATGATGGATGCGTATACTTAAGTTGTACAGAGCCATGATAATTCAAAGTTAACTTGTGGAGGTACTGAAGGCTTTACCAGGACAATATTGTGTATTGGTTTGTCTTTCAGCTTTATGTATTCAAGCTCCCCTTAAATATATTTTTGAACTGAAAAATAATTAAAGACTCATGTTAAGGGTATAAGACTGTGCAAAGTAACTTATAAAATATGGCTATGTTAAATTTACTTTATTCATTTTTTTTTTAATTGCACACAACTGTGATTCATTGGGGGCAATTTTAACTGTGTGTTTATCCATTTTTAGGCATAGTAATTATGCTTCATTTCATACATATTTTATTAAATTGTGTGCAAATAAAGATGTAATATCTGTAATTAACTGTGTGTGTATATGTATGTACTTATAGTTCTGTTTTAAAATTGCAATAACATATTTTAGGATAGCAAAATTAATAAATTTTGGTTTCTACTTTTATGGGGGGGGGGGACTTTTTAGTCCTAGAATCCAACTGAAAAAGAAGATGAGGTGAAGTGATTACTAAGATATTTCCTAATATAAATATTTATTATTGATTGAAATTGGAATAGCTGAAAAAACACTGATGAAACTGTTTTTAACTTCTGTATTTTAAACATTTGGTCCCTCAGTGGGTTAGGTTAAGTCTCGTGCTAAAAGCTGAGGTTTGGTTTCCTGTGATGGACAGAGTGCAGATAGACCATTGTATAGCTTTCTGTTTAAAAAACCAACAGTGTTTTAGCATTTGAATTTTTAGCCATAATAAGGTATTTTAAAAGTACTAAGGTTACCCTCTTTATTCAGTATTTTAAAAGTTTCTGTGATTTTTGTGTTGAAACCAAGTTTTCTTCAGTTTATCATATTACTAATATCCTTATTAGTAAAAGATTTATAGTAAATGTAGTATAACAACATCAGAAGGTGAGAGATAACATACATACATATTGGGCAAACTTGAAAAA